CACACACACATCAATACAACGTACCTGGTTTTTGAAGAGATGAAAGGCGGCATCAGCTTCTAGAGCCTTGACATTGAACACGAGATCTTCATTATTTGTGCAATATTCGGCGATGGTTCGATCAGTTGTAATGACAATGACAACGCTCTTAAGATGTTTGGATACCAAGGCAGCTTGTATCATGTCCCAATCCTTTGTGGACCGGAGATCGTCAATAACAATGAGGCACCAACCTTTCCTCAGAAGACGGTGACACTCTTCAGTAGGGTCTTTGTCAGAATGAAAATCTGAAAGTAAGGTCAGATACAAGTCCCTCATATTAAATGGATGGGATATATCCACCCAATAATAATCGTCATACTTGCCACCCTGAAGCTGAAGCACTGTGTCATAGAACAATTTCTTGACAAGGGCTGATTTCCCAACTTGAGCTATCCCCCATACAGACATAACTGGACGAGAGTTGACACGTGCCTCAGTTAAACATTTAACGAGTTCAGTCATTTGCGACTCGCGTCCAACAAGGCCATCATTCTTGTCCTTCCATTCCTTTGCTTCCTTCTGAAGTGACAAGATTTTCTTCAGAGAAGCCATTGGTTCTTTGCCTTTATCTTCACCCCCATTAAAACCCTGTATACATGTGTAGAAAGATATAAGCTGCCTTGGTATCCAAACATGCAGGAGCAATAGAGAGCCAAGAAAGGGCACAGTGAAAGGTTGGAGTAATTATCTTGCTAGCTTACCATTGGGTTCTTGTCTTTATCACCATCGCCTTGAGAAGCCTGCGTGTTGAGTGAGAGAGATTAGCACGCAAATACTTTAGAGAAGGAAAGGGAATGTTAACAAAATTTTGTAGGTCATAAAGGGTGTGTGCAATGGGGGCATCTTAAAAAAAATTATAAGTCATAAAGATCGTGTGCAATGAGGTGAAGTCACCTTTTTAAGTTTGTCACGTGTATAGGATAATTAATGACTAGTAAGAGAGAAAAATAAAGAAAGATATATAAGTTCTCTCAAATAAGAGATGATCTTGCAAACCAACCTGTGGTTGGTTAGTTAGCAGGACAGTGGCATCCCCAGTCCACCAGAGTTTCAATTCTAAACTTGGCATTGGTGCTCGCATTTTTTTGGATTTATTCCAGCGCTTTTGGCGATGTGCCTTCAGCGGAAGGAGACGTTCTCATTGACTACAAAGACGTTTGTGGCGACTTCCTCAATATCAAGATGATGTCTCAGCTTGGTCACTCGAAGATGCTCATAGGATAAGGTCTACGTGTGCGCATCCATAAGGGTGACTGTATGCTCGTGTTTGTGAACGACTTTGATTGTACTGTGGTAAAAAAAACTAAATAAGAGATGATCTCATGTCGCTTAAGATAAGACGTTTTTTTCTTCAAAAAAAGATAAGACGTTTTTGTCCATTATACGTGATGGTACTGATTTTCCTAAGGAGTTTTGTAAGTTGATGATAGTACTAGTTTTCCATTGCATAAGATAGTCATCCGAACAATGCACTTCTCCTACGCTGCTGCCATGTAATTCTCCCAGGGATTTTCCCTCAGGAATTTTGTAAGTTGATAATAATACTGTTTGCGTCCTCCCTCTCGCTAAACTTTTCCCTCTCCCTCCTACGGCGCTCCTGTGAGTGCCCGGAGGAAACCCTAGCCGCCCCCTCCTCCCCCTCAAGTCTTGTCCCTAGCAGCCATGGAGGCGCTGCCAGGCAAAGGCCGGTGGGTGTTGGCGGCGGCAGGGCCTCCCTTCCCCTTCACCTACTCATCTGCGGCTGGCGTGGGACAACCCGACTAGTGGAGGCGCTGCTCAATGGCGCGGTGGCATGTGTCTCCGAAGGCGGTGCGACAGTGACTAGGGCGCTCACGTGCAGCCCGGCGGTGTGTGTCTCCAATGGTGTCGTGACGGTGACTAGGGTGCTAGCATGAAGGGCGAATAAGCCACGGCTGACGAGCCGGACGTGTCGAGTGCGGGTATGGGCGCGCACTGGGCTCGCTGGGCGCGTCGGGTCCGGGCAGTAGGGCGTGCGTGTGTGCGTGCGTTGGGTGCACGGGCGTGTCCGTGCACCAGGGTGTGTATGTGTGCGTCTGCTGGCGAGCCTAGGTAGCCTGGTCAGGCGCGAGCCGTTGGAGCTGGCCTTGTGACGCAGGCGTCGGGCGCAGCGTGGGCGCGGTCAGTGCGCGGAGAGCGCGGGGAAGATCAAGGGCGAGTGGAGGCGTGGGTGCGTGCCCGGTGCGCCGGCTCGGGGTATAAAGCCACCTGATGGCGTTGTAACAGATCGACACAGTCGAGTTCGTGCTCGAGGGAGTAAAGGGGGCGTTCGTGCGCCGGAAAAACACCTGTGTCCACCGTGTTCTCTGAATTTCTCTGAACTTCTTCTTCTTCGATCTGGTGAGCTCGAGCGACAGCGACAGAGAGGGCGCAGAGGAGTGCGGCGAGGGACTGGCGGTTCCAACAATTGGCATCAGAGCCACATGGAGGAGGGAGCTCGCCGGCGATGTCCATCGTGCCATACGCCGGCGGATCGGGCAGCACGGTGGCGCATGCGGCGCCGGTGCTCACGGGCGATAACTATACCACCTGGGCCATCAAGGTGGAGGCGGACCTTGATGCCGCAGGGCTCTGGGAGGCGGTGGTGCCGCCGGAGGACGCGGCATCGGCGGTGATCGCCAAGAAGGACAAGCCGGCGAGAGCTTACCTGCTCCGGACGCTCGCCGACGACCTTCTGCTGCAGGTGGCCGCGAAGAAAACCGCGGCGGAGATATGGAGCAGCCTGAAGGCGCGGTTCGTCGGAGCTGATCGGGTGCGGGCGGCGCGGCTGGGCACGCTGCGCGGGGAGTGGGAGCTCCTGTGCATGGCGAGCGACGAGTCGCTGGACGCGTTCGCAGGGAAGATCAGCGGGATGGCGGCGCATTTTGCAGGGCTTGGAGCGATGCTGGAGGACGCATCTATGGTGAAGAAGCTGTTGGACTACGTGCCCGGTCGTCTGTACGCGGCGGTCGCTAGCATGGAGCAGTTCTGCAACCTGGATGAGCTGTGGTTCGACGACGCTCTGGGGCGCCTGAAGGCGTTCGACGAGCGGCTTCGGCGACGCGGGCAGGCAGGCAGCGAGCGGTCGGACGGCGAGCAGCTCATGTACACCGCAGCTCAGTGGCGGGCGCGCGAGCGGCGTCGAGGCGGTGCACGCGGAGAGGACGACGACGACGGCGCGACAAGCACGGCATCAGGCGGCGGGGACAACCGTCGCGGCAAGTGCTACAAGTGCGGCGTCAGAGGGCACTTCAAACGGGAGTGCCCCCTACTGCGGAAGGAGCCGGTCGCTGGACGTGCACTGCTGGTAGACGGCGACGTTGAAGACGCGGGGCTGCTCTGAGCCGCGGCTTAGGGCGTGAATGAAGGGCGAATAAGCCACGGCTGACGAGCCGGGCGTGTCGAGTGCGGGTATGGGCGCGCACTGGGCTCGCTGGGCGCGTCGGGTCCGGGCAGTAGGGCGTGCGTGTGTGCGTGCGTTGGGTGCACAGGCGTGTCCGTGCACCAGGGTGTGTATGTGTGCATCTGCTGGCGAGCCTAGGTGGCCTGGTCAGGCGCGAGCCGTTGGAGCTGGCCGTGTGACGCGGGCGTCGGGCGCAGCGTGGGCGCGGTCAGTGCGCGGAGAGCGTGGGGAAGATCAAGGGCGAGTGGAGGCGTGGGTGCGTGCCCGGTGCGCCGGCACGGGGTATAAAGCCACCTGATGGCGTTGTAACAGATCGACACAGTCGAGTTCGTGCTCGAGGGAGTAAAGGGGGCGTTCGTGCGCCGGAAAAACACCTGTGTCCACCGTGTTCTCTGAATTTCTCTGAACTTCTTCTTCTTCTCTCTGGTGAGCTCGAGCGACGGCGACAGAGAGGGTGCGGAGGAGTGCGGCGAGGGACTGGCGGTTCCAACATAGCATGCAGCCCGGTGGCTATGACCGGCAACCATTTGAGCGGTGGCATGTGTGCTGGTCCGGGGTCAGATCCGCCCAGATCTGGCCATGATCGGCAGACACTTATTTTGGGGCGGAAGAAATTACAGATAAAACGTAATGGTTTTCTTTACATGAATATGTATATCTAGCGCAGTTCAGGTATGATTACTCCTACTTGAAAAAGGTATAAACACATAAGATTTGCAGCAAGTAATTTTTTTTTTGATCAAAGAAGGGCTCCCCTTTCCGATTTTCATTAATGAAAACCAGGTCTACATGGTTAAAAAGGACAGAAAGTAACCAATCCAGAGTGCACAGTTACTAAACAGCGATAAATGTGACCAGCCAAAAGGACCAACACAGGCCCAGCGCGAACACAGTTTTCACCACCACACTAACTGCGACAACCGAAACCAGAGAAAATGCAGCAAGTAATTAAGATTGTGTTTATGGCTTAATTACCTTGTAGAGGGCACAAACAGAGTGCTTGTCCGAGAACTTTCGGAGCTCCACCACCTGGTATGAGTGACCAATGCATAAGGTTGCTATTTCGGATTGCTGAGTTGACACGATGACCCAGCTGCCATTTGTCATCTCAGGAAGGAATGCCCTGATAGCATCCCAATCTGCCATGTGTGACAGGCCTTCCAAGACGATGAGGTACCTCTTATCTCTGATTAGGTCCTCGAACTCACAGAAGAGATCTTCCTGAGTGGCCTCCATCTTCTTAAAGACATCCTTGCCTCTGGTTGCTCTTTGTTCCATGCAAGAGCTTGCATGGAACTGAGCCATCATGTTGCGCATGAATTGGTGGGGACTGAAAGGATGCATCATTTTCACCCAGGAGCGGCATGGGAAGTCTTGGCATATCTCTGGGTGGTTGTAGGCCTTCCTGATGATGGATGTCGTCCCATGGTCGCCGGCTGCACCCCAAACCGATATCACATGGAGTCCATTGTAGTCCTGCTTCTCGGTGATCAGCCGGGTGAGATCACTGACTCTTTGATGCCTCTTGGTGGCGCCCCTTGCCTCGGCGAGCATGTCAGCCGCGGTCGCAGTGGCGGCGGATGCCACCGGCTCCTGCTGCACGGTGAAGGGCTTGGAGCCAGTGTCGCCAATGAGTTTGTAGCGCGCGTTCCTGGTGCTCACGTCCTCCACCCTCGCCTTGAGCTGCTCGATCTCGCCGGCCGCCTCATCAAGCGGCAGCGGCAGCGCCATGCACCAGGACGGCACCACGCGCCGCCACCACCTGCTCTTTTTATCGAGGTGGATGACGAGCTCGATGCAGTCTTCCACGTCGTAGGCCAGCTCGCGGATCTGCCTCACCCATGTTATCACCACCTTGTTCTCTAGGCGCTCCTCGTCCGCCACCTTGAGGAATGAGTGCATCATTTCAAACTCATCGGTGATGAACACTAGGTTGCGCTGCGTGCTCTGCCGAAGCTTGGCCTCTTCTTCGATGGCCGCCTGGGCCTTGGTCAATGCCCCCTCCACCACTGACTTGGCCAACCCAACAACCAGGTCCGCCATGTCTCTTTCTCTCCTCAATGGGTGGTTGTTTTCTTGTGCGTGATATGCTAGTGCTGGACTTCCACATCGACTGGGCATTCTCTTAAAGGGGATCACTCAGACCGATCGAACATCCATGTGCCAACTAAGCTGACATTGGACATTTGTTTACAAAAGACTTGGGACTAAATTTTGAGGGCAAGTCTTCTTCCACGAAAGAGCGGATGCCTTACAAGAAAAACGAAATTCTTTTCACTGATAGATCATACAAGGCGGATGCAGACAAATTAATCTCTAGACTAAACTATGGCACGCAAAACTGACTGAAAAAAACTGTATGCACGCACCAATTGAGGCTTTCCTTCCATGCCACGCTACAAGGAGTGACATGGGGTCGGGGTCCTGAACATCACGTAATGTCGTCACATTGCAAGGTTTCTGACATACACATTGGTTCTGTACATGGTCACCACATTATGAGCTTGTTAAATTTTGGTGCATCAGATCGATCCTGCAATCCGCCTTACCAGTGACATGGAGTCGGAGTGAATAGATGCTGCATAGGCACACCAACTGTAGGTGTTGACGTGTTGTGATCAAAGTTTTAAATAACGCGCTAAGCCTCTTAGTGGCGGACCTCTTCTAAATGATATAGCGTGCTATAGCGCGCTACTTAAAATGCATGCTCGTGTGTTTTGGATTAAAAACCCTTACCGATGGACCTCTTTTAAATGCTATAGTGGTGCTAGAGTGCACTATTTAAAACCACATGGTTATGATAGTATGTCGATCCACATCCACAACGTCGACGACTATGAAATTTGAACCGAAGGTCAGATGGTTCAGAAAACTAGTGCTACTCACAACGTCCCTTGAGGACATTTGGAAGAACGGTAGAAAAGCTCGGTGAATTGAAGGCACCCGGTTCTGGAGTACGTAGCTGAATGATCTTGTGTATCTTGTGTAACTAGACTCTCTGGTATGTACATACGGTAAGCTAGCTAACCCAAGGATCGAAAAATATCAAACAGATAAGCATGCATCCGTGAGGGTGGCCCGACTGATTAGACCAAACACAAGCATCAACTATCAGTACACATGTGACGAACCATGCATTATTGCATCTATAGTATAATTTAATATCTTGAGTCAAACAAGCTTGATACTAGTGCAGATGTAACGTGCAGATACATATTCATTGCAACCAACGAGGCATTAGCTGTTCCAGGCTTCACGGTCTTGATGGGATCAGCAGACGGTTTGTTAAGTCTGCAATGAATTGAGATCTGATCGAGGCGAATCTCACCGATGACTTTCGTAGCTCCACTATCATCCGTTGCAAGTATACATCACGAGTCATCCATTAGGAGGAGCACATACGTGTTGCATAAGCACAAACAAGCTCTGTGAGAATGCATATGTAGCTGTTTTTTTTCTTTAGTTGTCACGGATGTAGGTGTCGACGTGTTGTAATGGTAGGTGTTATCGCTATCCACAGCGTCGACGACTATGATATTTGAAGGTCGAATGGTTTGTACTACTAGTGCTACTCTCAAGAGTAGTCCCAGGGGTACTTGAAGAGATTTGCACGCATGGTAGAAAAGTTTGGTGAATTCCAAGGCTGCGAAGCCTTCGCCACTTCAAGCTGTATGTCATCACTTGACCACATAGACATCAAAACTCTTCAACTACAAGTAAAAGTCGTGCAAATGATTGTATAAATTTTGTAAAATAATATGTATGTGTCATCACAAGTTTAAATAGACATCACATACTTGAATTTCTAGCACCACTGGCTGTACTATCTAGTCTGAACGTATGGTAATTAAATCTAGCTAAGCTAACCCAAAGATAGATAGATCTCAAACGGATAAGCATGCATACGTGAGGGGTTGCCCAATTGATTGGACCAATCATATAAGCAACAACTATCAATACACATATGGCCAATCTTGCATTATTGCATGTATAGTATAAATAAATATCATGACCGTTCAGACTCGTCATTGAAAATTATGAGTCAAACCAGCTTGATACTAGTGTAGACGTAGCATGCAGATACATATTCATTGCAAAGAACGAGGCATTAGCTGTTCCACGCTTCACGGTCTCGATGGGATCAGCAGCTGATTAATTAAGTTTGTGATCGATCAATTGAGATCTTTAAATTGTTTTGTGTCTACGTCTCTGATCGGGACACATCTCACAGACGACTTTCGTAGCTCAACCACCATCCGTTAGGGAGTAATCCATTCGTAGCTCAACCATCCACGACTTTGGTAGCTCAACCACCATTCGTAGCTCAACTAGACTAGATATACATCGCGAGTAATCCATTAGGGAGGGTCTCAGCTCGTGAGTTGTGGCGACTCTTGTTTTGAATATCCAAACTCGTACTACTACATCCTAACCAAAACACAGTTAATTACTCCCTCCAGTATTATGATTATTGTTGCCTTGCCCAAATACGTTTCAAAGATTTCTCCCCGTTCAGAAAATCAAATGTGGTAGTTGATATGTCTCCAGTGTGTTACTGCCCTTGCCTCTTTCGAGTCTCTGCTCATACTTAAATATGAGAAGAATAACAGACAAAAAAACCATTATCATTAGTGGTACGTTCTTCCCCATCAGGAGGAAAAATACGCTAGAATCATAAAAAAAGAAAATTGCACTATGAATATTTGAATACACATCAAGTTGTGCAATATCATGTTAAATTTTTATCAGAATGCTAGTCATCAGTCGCTTTTATTTTGACAAAAGATAGATATGGTTGACTGAAAATGAAGCATCAAAGGTATACATGCAAACACAGCCTCCTCATAACTAGGATGAACATAACCAACACTAACACACAAACAGGAAATCACGGATGTGCTCCATGCAGTCTTCCACGTCATACGCCAGCTCGCGGATCTACCTCGCCCATGTTAATTATCACCACCTTGTTCTCTAGGCACTCCTCGTCGGCCACCTTGAGGAACGAGTGCATCGTTTCAAACTCACCGGTGATGAGCACTAGGTTGCGCTGCACGCTCTGCCGAAGCTTGGCCTCTTCCTCGATGGCCGCCTGGGCCTTGGTCAACGCCCCCTCTACCACTGACTTGGCCAACCAAAAAACCATGTCCGCTATGTCTCTCTCTGTCTCACTTCAACGGGTGGTTGTTTTCTTGTGTGTGATATACTTAGCTGTAGCCGTGCTAGACTTGCACATCGACTGAGCTTCTTTTAATGGGGGGTCAGACCGATCAATCATCCATGAGCCAAGTAAGCTGACGTTGGACATTTGTTTAAAATGTCTTGGGACTTAATCGTGAGGGCAAGTCTTCTTACAAAATACCAAGGCTACTTCCAATATATTGGGGCTTAGGTGAAGTGTTAAATGCATGCGAAGATTTAGCAACTAATCCCCCAATGATAGGTGTTTAGTTTTTGTAGCTAAGCTTTTTATATTTAATTGTTTAGTAACTAAACCCCTTTATGCATTGGTTAATAGACGTTTTGCATAGGCCTCCCTATTTGGCATCATTTCTTTCTAGGGTAACCAACATGCTCTCTCTTCTTCTTAATTACTTTGTTACGTCAACTTTTTATTTACATGGCATTCTTAGAATATGTACACTATAGAGCATCGGAAAGGGCCTTACCATAAGATGGGGGAAGCTGAAATTCGTAGGGGCAAGCAAGTGTGGGGGCACGCACCTGTCGAAAGCCATTCAGCCATCGATTTGCGCCGTGATCCGGACGTATGTGTTTGGCGGAAATTCATTGGATTATTAAATATGTGAATGCGAGACAGTATAGATGTTTATTATTATTACATACAAATATGTGCTCCACATGTACTTCTATGCCCGTCCATCTTCTGTTATGCTCCATCACCCCAGGTTCTGTTCTAACTGCAATTTGGTACTGTGTATCTTCTTCCACCTTCCTCTGTTCTTCAACTGCTTGTTCCTATAGCTGTGGTTTCCTTTCAATCTTCTAATCATCTACATTTGCTATTGCTTCTTCTTCTACTTAATTTGTTTCCCTTTATTAGATTTATACTCATAAGTTCATTCTGTTCTGTCCTTTCCCTAGTTAATCCCATCCTTTTTCTGATGAATACTTAGCATGTGTTTTTCGCTATGTATTATTGCCTTTGGATGCATGCTATCTTCTGTGAAAAATATTATTTTTAAATTAAAGAATGCAATAATTGTACCACCAAATCAGAATTTATGAAACCGTTCGACAAGTTCGTTAAGTAAATATTCCTTAAACACATTTCGTTCTTCGAACTACAATGACTTGTCTAAGCTTTGAATTCATTTGTGCTCCTAGCTAGGGTTAACGCTGGTTGCTCAATGAAGTTCTTTTAGACAAAACTTTAGATCCAATATTCCCGGTTCTGCTCTCTAAAACTTCTGCTGGCTGCTGCCATGGACATGCTATTTTATTCGTGGGTGCATCCAACTAGTCATCCCCATTTTAACCAACATTTATTTTGGGTTGCGGACTGGACGCATAAGTAATCTTCTTTCTGCCTAGTCTCTCCCCCTTGTCTTCTTTCTTTCTGCTGCGAGGTTGTAGATCTACTTTATTGCGGCTCCTACTCAACGCTCCCGCCACCGTTTGCTGCAAGTCAACATCCTCAACCATCGATAGGTACTAGAGCTACTTCCGGTGGTTCCTTCCATTTCGCTGCAATTTGCCCCAGCCAAGAAAATCCCAATGGAGGTCGATGCAGTTAATGATATGGAGTAAATTACAATGTATAGATCTTTAATCTGCTCCAAAGCACCCGTTCCAATCTTATTTGCGACTAAATTGGTTGTTCATTCATTTGTAGTCCCCAATCTACTATGAACTTATGGGCTTGTGCGACGGTCATCACGCTTTTAGGAACAAGTCTTTCTCCTTGTTTTTTTAGCAGCCTACAAAGAAAGAACGCAAGTTTCTAATTATTGTTCAAATAATGTTCATGACATTTTGTACTCAAGCTTCTAATAGAAGCGTAACATGATTGTCTAAAAAATTGGACAATAAATGAGAAGGATGAGATAATACTATAATTCTGCAAATGGCTTGCTCAGCCTATATAAGCTAATAACAAA